CACTAGGCTGCATCACCCCTGTCAGCCGCTGCTTGCTCACAGTGGGAGGGGAACCAGGGTGCACAGGACCTCAGGAGCACCAGGTTAGGCCATTAGCACTTCCTAGTCATACTATCCCCATTCACTCCTCTTCCTGATGTCATGAAGTGTTTGAGAAAAGTAATAATACCTTCTCAAGGGGGAAATATCTTAAAGAGTCTATGCTAAGAAAGAAAGGTCCAGTGAAAGAAAAATCATTAAGTCTATCTCTTTCCCTCATTCCCACTCTTAAATAGAAGGCCATTGTCTGACATCATTCAAATGGGGGCAGAGAATAATGAAGGGGAAGTGGTATGTAGGATTTCCTTCAGTGGGTTGAGGGTGGCCCCAAAACAAACATACCACAATTCAATATCCACTCACAGCTCTCCCTGTCCCTTACCACGTGGACCCTCCTTTACGTTCAGGGCAATCAGAATTCTACATGGGACCTATTTATCTTCGAATGGACTGGACTCATAAATTTTCATCCTTACAAGCAAACCATCTAGCAAAGGGTGGTTATCCATTTTGCAAATATTGACACCAAATGGCGACTCTGTCAACAGGTCAAGCCATGGAATAGTGACACAGGGAACACAGGGAAGGCTGATGTGTCCTCCTGAGCTCAAGGGTCACATGCTGATCCAATCAGATGGCGGCCAGCTGTCCTGCAGACATATTAAGCCCCGAGTTAAGAGTGTTTTCAGTCACAGCCAGACACCTCACAGACCTTGCAATCAGGTTTAAGATGAGAACAAGGCGAATGTGTTGGCCATGCGAGGCACACTCTGATCCTAGTCCTTGGGCTGTCAGCCCCTCGCTCCTCCTTCATCAGTGTGATGCCAACATTCCCAGCCCTGCTTACAATTTTTACCTTTGATTTTAAGAGGAGCACTCAGGAATGAGGAGACAGATATGGGTTTTTACAAAGGCAAACTATTTCTTACAAATTACAATCGCAATGAAGTATTGCCTCCTTTGAATTCCAGTGGCTATGATCAAAAAGACTAAAGACAACAAATGTTGACAAGATGTGGACAAAGCCCCAAAAAAGTCTTAAAGGAAGAGACTACACAGCATCGTGATTTAAGGGAGGTATATCAGTTACTTTCTGTTGCTGTGATAACCACCAGGACCAAAGCAACTGAAGGATGGAAGGGTTTTTATGGCTCCAGAGGGTTAGAATCTGCAGTAGTGGAGAAGGAATGATGGCCATAACAGAAAGCTAAGAGATCATGTCTGAACTGCACACAGGAAGCAGAAAGAGTTTTCAATTGCAACACCATTACTGAATGAGTACAGTAAAATTGTGTGTGTGCGTGTGCGTGTGCATGCGTGTGCGTGTGCATGCGTGCGTGCGTGCGTGTGTGTGTGTGTGTGTGTGTTGGGGGGGCTACTTATGCACCATAACACATGTGTGGAAGTCAGAGGACAATCTTGAGTGGTAGTCTTCACCTTCCACTTTGCTTGAGACAGAGTCTCTGTTGGTCACTGTGGCATATACCAGCCCATAGACAGAGCTTCCTGCAATGTTCCTGTCTAATCCTGCTCTCTCCCGGTTGGAGGCATTAGGATTATCGACACCACTGTACCCACAGCTTTTTCCCTGGGTTCCAGGAATCTGGATTCAGATCATCAAGCTAATGCAGTAAACACTTGATCTGCTGGTCCAGATCCCAGCTTGAGCAGGGTCTTTGGGGACCATGTGTAAGAGGTGTTAATATCATTCTGGGTCCTGGAAACATGAACTCTCACTTAAATAAACACTTTGTGCTTCTTTCATGATACAAGTCAGGAAAAAATGAATCACTTTGCTGGCTAGCTGGACAACTAAACTCTCTGCCTCCAATCACTCCAGTAAGTGCAACCATCAAATTGGGAAGAGAGGAAGATTCCTATTGGAATGTGTTATGAATTACACGTGCTATGTAGGAGGTCCTGGTGGGTAGAGCCAAGGTACCCCATGGTGGGTGAGAGACAGAGAGATGCCATGCAGACAGCACTCAGTGACAAGTTTTATTTGGTGGGGGGAAAGAGAGGGAGGAGAGAAAGAGGGAAAGAGAGAGGGGGGGGTTGGAGAGGTGCACACCTTGTGGGAGGAAAAGCTGAAGAGAGGAAAGAAGAGAGAGAAATGGGCAGAGTTTTCCCTTAAGACTAGGCTTTTACGTCAGGGCACAGGGTGGTACCAAAGGCGGGATCAGAATATTAACAGAATGAAGCAGTGGTTAAGGAATTCTGGTGCTCAGTCGAGCTATGAAAACTAAGGCTATGCTATTGGACCACTCACTCAAACTTGCAAAGGAGTGACTGTCCTTTCATGGTGGGGCATGTTTGGCAAATACATGGGCCATAATCAATTTGTCTAGGAGAATCAAGGATCATAAGTGTGTTCTTTTTACTCACATTTGAAGCATAATAACACCTCTGTGTTTCAGATTAGTTTGTAATCTTAACTAAAAATATAATTAGTGTGTACATATACAGCTATAAGAGCTACAGTGTATCAGATACAGCTTTAAAGGCTGTATGATGTTAACCCATCATCATTAACATCATATGAGACAGGGCCCACTTTACAAATGAAGAAATTGAGACAAAAAAGTGAAATCAAGATTAAATTTAGGTTACACCAAATAACAGCAAGGATTTCAACCAGGCACACTGGCTTCCAAGTCCTTGGATTTTAACCATGACAACATGTACTTCTGTGGGGTTTTATTTCTTTCTGGGTTTGTCTCTCTAGCTGAGTAAGTCCCCCTTTTATTTACTTATGCATGCATCTATGTATATGTGTGCGTTGGTGTGTGCCCATGCCACATACCATAAATGTGGAGGTCAGAAGTTCGTTCTTTCCTTCCACTACGTGGGTTCCAGGGATCAAACCCAGATCATCAGCTTGGCAACAAGCATCAAAACCCATTGAAGTATTTCACTGACACCTTTATCTTTCTTTTTTCTTCCTTCCCTCCCTCTCTCCCTCCCTCCTTCCCCTCTTCCCTTCCCTCACGGTGCAGGGGACAAAACTTTGCATTTTTTAGAGGAAGAATGGGAATGAAAATAAGCACAAGCGCCTTCAAGCTCAAAGGGAGCAGCTGTCCCCCGGTACCGTGAAGTGCACGTCTGACATTTGGAATTCCTGCAGTCATTATAGCAAATCCTTTTGCAGTGATTACTTTTTTCTTATCACTGGCTTGGAAAGTAATTAGACGATGCTATTATTGTATGTGCTCAGAGTCAATCTTGCTATAGGGTGATTATTGGGCTGTGTCCCTCTATGTCCCCATCTAGGTAGCCCTGAACTGAAACTGACCTGCCTACCTATAGGCATAACATCACCTCTTCCCGTCTAGTGACTCAAATCAGAGCTGCCACTTGTGTCACAGAAAGAACAGTCAGAACTCCTCTTGCGTTGCTAGGCTCAAAGGAACACACTTTCAAAAACAAGCCATCACACTGGTGCCCCTTCTCACTGTGGCCTGGCACGCTTCGGCCCCCAGCGCCCTGCAAAAGGCATCAGTTAGTCTAGAGGTGCTGGGCTCTTAAATGGCAGCCTAGTTAATAATGAATGTTACCCTAGTTAATCTTTGCCAGGACATGGTTGTGTGACCTTGAGTCACTTGTATGGATGCAGACCTCTTCATCTATACCCTGAGAGTTATAGACAGGAAGTACATATTTGCTTCCCCAATGTCAAGGTAAAGTAAGCAAAGGTCTTTTAATACTCTAGATTTTTTTGTGCGTATTTTTATCCAATGAGATTCTCTGTCTTTGTCTCTCTGTCTCTGTCTCTGTCTCTGTCTCTGTCTCTGTCTCTCTCTCTCTCTCTCTCACACACACACACACACACACACACACACACACACACACACACACACCCCTTGCCACAGCTCTCAGAGTGGTTGTTAACCAACCAGAGACTTCTAGAAAGAAGAAGTAACACTATGCCCCCTACCCATATTCAATCCCTCCATTTTCCTGCTCTCTGCTTCTCTCAATCTCCAACTGCATGAGAGCATGTTTGCTTACATGTCGTGTGCTTCTGTCTGTGCATGAGTATATGAAAACCAGAAGACGACCTTGGGTGTCATTCCCCAGGTACTATCTTCATCATTTTTGTGAGGCAGGGGACTCTCACTGGCCTGGGACTCTCCAAGTATGCTAGGCTGGCGGGCCAGCAAACCTCAAGAATCCTTCCGGGCAATAGGATTGCAAGCACATGCCACTCTGCCTGGCTTTTTAAAAAAAGAAAATTGGATTCCAAGAGATCAAACTCAGGTCCTCATACTTATAGGCAAACATTTTGCCAACTGAGCCCCTACCTCTGTCCCCTCCATCTCTTATCTTCCTTCCACCCACTTGCTCTTCCTTCCTTCAGTTCCAACATTTGAGGGTTAATCCTTGATGCTTAAGTTTGAAGACTCAGGAGAAAGTGAATGTTTAAGTGTCAACAGCACAAAGTGCAGACCATAGCATAGGCCAGTCTGCATCTTTCTCCAAAGTTCTACGTGAAAACGGGGTTGGCATATAGCTTCCCCTGACCCAGCCTGCTGCTGATCTCTTCTCTTGGCCCCAAATACTAACTCTGGGACAGGGTTAAGTCACCCATATTCTCCGAATCCTAGTTCTTTACAATATCTATGTTGGGTTAGAGAGACGGCTTCCTGTCTTAGGAATCGCTGTGCAGGCATGAGGACCCAGGTTTGGATCCCACCAGTCATGTGAAAAGCTGAGTCACCCTGGGTCAGTAACCCTAGTGTTGTGAAGGGCAGAAGGTGGAGAGTCACCTGGGCATCCAGATTCAGTGGCAGACACTATCTCAAAGGAATGTCAGAGAGAGTAGCATAGCAGGATGCCCAACAATCTCCTCTGGCATTCTCATGTGTATGGGCACATGCACACACATGCACATACACCACACGCGTATGCCCAACATGTATTTATGAGGTCATCAATGTGTGACACTAAAAATTCCATGCTTATGGCAAGCAAGATGGCTCAGCAGGTAACAGTACTTGCCAACAAGCCTGACAACCTGAGCTCGATCCCCAAGGACCCATGTAGTAGAAGGTAAGAATCTGTTTCCTAACGTTGGCCTCTGACCTCCACACAGGCATGTACTACATGGGAACATGTGTTCTCACATACAAAATAAATAAGCAAATGAAATTTACAATTTTATGTAAAAGAGATTCAGAGCTCGGTGTTAAGGATATGGTTGTTGTTAATAGTAGTAAGGCCGAGCTGAGTGTTCTTCCTCATGGACCACATTGCCCTCATCATGTTCTCCCCACTCAGATTGTTGCCCGAGCTCATAATTTAAAGGCACACAAAAGGCTCTTGGGTGGTGAAGAGCTGGAGGAATTTTAAATGAGCCTGTTTGCTTTTTTTGATGAGTTTGGGATGAGTTCAGTGATGGGGGAAAAATACAGACAGAGCATCACAGACCTCAGGGGAGCCAGTGGGGGCCTCAGATGATGGTGCCTGCTGGTTGAATAGAACCTCAGGTGAGCCCCGCATTACAGTGAGAAGGCATGTCTGTCTTAGAAGAACCATTTCTTGTACAAGTAAATTAAACGAGCGAGCATACTGAATAGCTCGCCAATTCATCAGAGACACGGGAGGTCAAGCCATGAAAGCAGCACAGAGCAATCCCGGTCAGTGTTGTTCCCATTCTGTCTGTCAGGGCAGGCGTGGGGGTGGAAATGTTCCTCTAGCTGGGCGCCTTTGCCATCCTAGCTTGGAAATATGCTTTCACAACAAGTGGGCTGCTGTGGAAGGGACACTGTGTACTACTTTTCAATGTCCGCATTAAAGGAGACAGAGACTTAAGTTCAGGTCTGACTTGGTTCTAGGGAGAAAGAAATGTCTACTCTCAGGAGACAGCGTAACATCCTGAGGACCTATGCTACCCTGAATGAAGCTGCTGTTTGGTAGAGTCAGAGGCCGTACAAGTAAATGGGGCATACATGTGGCGTATTTGCATAGTGCAAGAGACGGAGGAAGGCCATCTAGATCATTATAGGGCTGTTGGGCAGGCTTGCTGCTAAGAACCACCCCCAGTTCCCACTGCTGACCTTAGTTGCATGAACTGATTTTGTTGTTGCTGTTTTAATTTCAACAGGTGTACCCATCACCCGTGCTTTGTAATATTAGTGCTACTCACTGTAAATCACCTTTACCCATCACCAGGAAGCCAGCGGAGCCCACAGTTGCCTCTGGGTTCCTTGGTCCTGTTTTCTCCTCATGAACAGCTACTTGCTGGCTCAGGAAGAGGCCTAGTGGGGTGTTACCCACGGTAGGATCCCAGGGTTTGGGTTCTGCAAGCTTCTCGGTGCTGTGGAGAGGGGATAGTTTTCAAAGAGGCATTTAGAGGAGTTATGTAGCAATTCATTTTCACTTTGAACCATGCATGTTATCTGTAAGCCAATGGCAAACCTAATTGAAGAGATTCCTATAGCCTGTTCCATTGTCAGTAAGGACAACTGGAAGTAAGGCATTTGGGGTGTGCTGAGGCTGGGGAGCCCACATTCCGTGACTATCAAAGCAAGCAATGGGCTGAAGAAGTGCCGGGCTCTTCCCTCCTGTGAGCAAGCATTGTGCTAACCACGGAGAGCTGCAGCATTAATTATGTGTCTCCTTGGGAAGACTAACTCCCAGAGTGTCAAGGAAAACTAATGAGCACAATCATAGCATCGCTCAAGAACGTCTCACCTGCCAAGCGCTTTACCAGGTTAGCTCATTAATCCACTCAGCCCTCCTGTGAAGCTGCTAATTATTATTATGCCCAGTTCAAAGATGGAGTGACTAAGCAGAGAAGAAGCAACTGCCCAGAATCCCTGGGCACATCTCAGTCCTTCTTGCTCCACAGAACAGAGCATGGGTCACTGAGCTGTATAATTCTGCTTTTCCTTTGATCCCAGATACACATGGATACTAGAATCCCTGAAGCAGGGGAGGAAATAGATAGGTTGCTGATTCCATGTTATTACTGATTAATTTCCCTCTAAAGTAATCATTACTTTGAAAAGTCCATGCGTATGAATTATGTATGACTGAACCATAGTGCATGACCCACTTATCCAAAACAATAAATTAATTCAATCAGCAGATATTTAGCACCTTCTTTTCATATTTCAAGGATTATACCATGTACTAGTATCAACCTACTATTAAAAAATAACATGGTTTCACTTTTAATTTGTTATAATGTTATTTTACCTGAATATCAGGAATTCCTATAGACCATTTAAATAAATGCTGGCTGTAATTCCATATTCTTTTGTACTTCAACTTTTCCTTCATTGACTTGAGAAGTGACTGACCATTCATACTGTGATCCATCAATATCATCCCAAGTCCTGGGAGAGAAACCCTTTGCCCATTACAGCCTGTGAACTTATTCTGCGGCCACTTCTGTGGCTGTTGAATCAAGCAGCCTCTCACCACTTGGCACCTGAAGTTGAGCAGGCATCCCTTAGTGGAATGTCACGCTTTGAGCTCTGGAGAAAAAAGAACCACAGTACATCTTAGGGTACGTCTCTTGGCAAAGACTTGGGAGATAGAAGTTAAAATAAGTCTTTAAAAAATTATAAATTATTTATTTATTCTTATTTTGAATGCGTTGGTGTTTTGCCTGTATGTATGTCTGTGTGAAGGTATTGGATCCCCTGGACCTGGAGTTATGGACAGTTGTGAACTGTCATCATGTGGGTGCTGGGAATTGAACTCGGGTTCTCTGGAAGAGCAACCAGGGCTCTTAACCACTGAGGCACCTCTCCAGCCCCCAAATGTCATTTTTTCTAGGAATGGGAAAATAGATCAGTTGGTAAAGTGCATGCTTTGCAAGTATAAGGATCTGAACAGAACCCCCATCTTTAAAAAGCTGGGCATGGAGGCTGATGAGATGGGTCAGTAGTAGGTGAAGGTGCTTACTATCAATCCTGATGATCCAGGTTTGATTCCTGGAACCAACATGCTAGAAAGAGACAACTGACTCCCACACATTGTCCTCTGACTTCCCCATGTGCACTGTGACACGATTGTATACACATATGATTGATAAATTTTTAAATGGTAACATATATTTGTAATCCCTGTATTAGGGAAGAAAGTTTGCTGTCCAGGCAGCCTAGCCTCTTTGGCAAGTTCCAGGCCAGTGAGAGACCCTGTCTCAAAGAACAAGGTGGATGATGCCTGATGTTGTCCTCTGGTCCCCACATGAATGGACACATGCACAGTACCCATACATATATGTGTACATACACATGTGTACCTACCACACACATACACATACACACACTTATTAATTTTGTAATAAAATCAGTAAGATTGTGATGTGAAGGAAGTGCAAGTGTAGGGATTGACAAGTGTCTATCAGGCAATGCATCTTCAGCTGCCTCACTCTCAGGGAGAACTTAGGGAATGTCAAGGGGCTACAACAATCCGAAGCACCTAGATCAAAGATGCTGACTTTGGCATTGATGTCATGTAGTGTCAAGTGTGAGCAGAAGAGACAGCATGTGCACATGCCGGGAAAGACATCAGTCCCATAAAGAAAGATAATCTAGGTTTGCTTTGTGGGATAGAGTGGCTATTCCTGACACCATGCAAGTTATTCCTAGTCCACTGTGACATGCCATGCACTTGATAAAGAATTCGGAACTCAATAGGCTGTGTCTGACTCCAGTCTCCACCCATCACTTAGTCCTCGGATGGGCTTTTAATGTCTCTAGGCCAGCAATGTCTTCATCTCTAAAGCAGATCAAAAGCAGTAGTTTTTTCCTGAGCTCGTGGCAAGAACCAGATGAAATTATTCACATACCGATACCTTTGTATCTCTGAAACATAGTATCCTATAATAAGAACCTCGATTTTAGAGTTTCGGAGGGCAGCATAATTATAACAAAATGTGTTCGTTTTTATTACCATGATTATTTTTAAACTCTCTCACTCAGTGCTCTTAGTTTAAGATAATATCTAATTAAGATGAATGGCATGTGATCCAGGGCTGCATGCATTGGAGCAGAGCAAGAAAGTATTTAGTTTGCTTTCTTACCCTGTATGTCTCTACAGAGATTTGGCAGATATCCTAGGATTTGTGTTATACTGAGAAAACCCATTACTTCTAGAATGAAACTCTGTGTGTGTGTGTGTGTGTGTGTGTGTGTGTGTGTGTGTGTGTGTTTCTTGAGGAAGAAAGCCTGCACTGTTTTTAGATGGCATCTACCTTTGAGACAAGGTCTCTCACTGACCTGGAGTTCACCAGCTGTGTAGCCAGTGAGTCCCAGGGATCCTCCTATCTACCTTCCCAATTCTGGAATCACGGGTGACCATAGCTGACTTTATGTGGGTCCCAGGGACCCGACACAGGCCCTGGTGCTTTAGGATGGTCCTTTGCCGGCCGAGCCATCTCCCCTGCCCTGCTGTGGGACGTTGAAGCACATCCTCGATCTTTACTGATTAGAGGTCAGTAACTCCTGCCAATTTTGATGACCCCACATCTCTCCAGATATGAAAACTGTTCTGGGTTGGGGAAGAGCGGTGAATAAAATAGACCCCAACTAAGAATCACTGTTTACCCCTCAAGGACTTTTTGTCCAAAGTCAGAAAGAATTTGGAAAGGTGCCTGAAGATTATTAGTAGTCGTTCTTGCTAAACGATGATTTAACCACCGAATGAAAGGATCTCCTTTCTGCTCCATTTGCTGCTGAGAACTCCTGGAGTGTGCTGTGTTCTCCACATGTACTAACTCGGAAGAGCACAAAGCAGAAAAATCTGTGTGAAAAAAAATGTTTCCCCACAGATTAATGATATAAATCCAATACATTCATGAAAGAAAGAAAAATAAATGAAGGAGGAAAAATTCATATTTTCATACTTCAGATTACACATTCATTTAACCGCCTTAATATTTCTTCTAATCATGAAGAGACTTCAAGAAATGTAATTACAAACATAGTCAAAAGTTAATTACACTATTATAAATTATATTCTTTTGCCACTCTCTGGGGAACACCAGGAATTTGAGGGTGAGTAGATGTGTATAAAAATACATTGTGAAGTTGATATATGATTTACATCATCAGGGTACATAAATATGAATTTTCACACTGTATCAGGGAAATCATCACAAACAAAATGTCTTCTTTGGAATTCCTAGGGCGCATTTGAGTTGGAGCCCTGCTACAGCTGCATCTGACTGGACCCTTTTTATTCAAGTGACTAAATGCGTGGGGCAGGCGGATGGGCACAGTTAGCAGAACAAAAGCATGCAATGATGGTGTGTGTCATCGTTGGAATTCTACAAATAAAACCCAAGGCTGAACTGAGAAAGGGCACTTAATTGGGGTACAAAAACCTGACAACACTAAAAATTACTTTTAGTGATTTGTTATTAATTAATTAAGGATTTTTCTGCATAAGTATGCTTCTGGTGTGTGTGTGTGTGTGTGTGTGTGTGTGTGTGTGTGTGTGTGTGTTGGTGCATGTGTGTATATATACATATGGTGGCTCAAAGTTGATGTTCAGTGTTTTTCTTAACCTCAATTTACTTGATTTATTGAGGCTATGTCTGTGACTGAACCTGAAACTTACCAATTCTGGCTAGTCTAGTCAACCAGCTTGCTGCAGGAATCCCAGGTCTCTACTTCCCAAGAGCTGGGATTACAGGCCACTGTCACCCTTGCCTGGCTTTTATACTGGCTCTGGGGACCCAAACCCCAGTCCCCATGCTAACACAGTAAGTACTCTATCCATTCAGCCATCTCTCTGACTCTAATTTAGCTTTTATTCAGATTGATTTTTAATTGATGTGTGCATGTGTGTCTCTGTGTGGATGTGTATACATCAGTGCAGGCGCCCTTGGCAGAGGGTGTCATACCACCTAGAGATGGAGTGCTGGAGTTGCAGGAGGTTGTAAGCAAGAGGACACAGGTAATGGGAACCAATCTCAGGTCCTCTGCAAGAGCAATATACTCTCTTAACCACTGAGCCAACTCTCTAGCCCTCTATTTTAGTTTTTTTTTTTTTTTTTTTTTTTTGAGGCAGGATCTTGTTCTGAACCTCAGACTTCCTTGAAATTCTCTATGTAGGCCAGGCTGGCCTCAAACTCATAAGCATCCTGTCTCAGCCTCTCAGGTGTTGAGATTACAGGCATAAGATAGACTCCCACGTATTGGGATTTAAAGTACCTGTCTTATTTTATATTAATTGATATATAATATGTATGCATCTTCAGAGAATATAGGATAATATTCCAATGCATATTTATAACACGATATAATCAATTCAAAGTAACTATCATTTTCAGCTCTCCTCATGTGTGAAGATGTTCAGCATTTCTGTTTCTGCAGCTGGCTTATTTTTCTATCCATGTCTCTCCAGACAGTGAAGCTGCATTTGCTCTGCACTGCAGTTGCTGTGAACACAGCTGGAGGCTGAAGAGGCAGAGCATACCTGCAAGAAAAACCATATGCATGCATCTGGGAAGGCGGCCTGCCCCATAAAGCACTTGCCATGCAAGCCTTAGAGCGTGAGTCCAGATCCCCAGCACACATACAAAAAGCTGGCCATGGTGTTGAGAACCCATAATCCTAGAATTGAAGAGGAGGAGACTGGTGAGTCCCAGGAGCTTGCTGGCCAGATAATCTTGCTGGATCAGTAAACTTCAGGTTAGGTGAGAGACCTTGTCAAAAAAAAAAAAGAAAGGAAAGAAGGAAGGAAGGAAGGAAGGAAGGAAGGAAGGAAGGAAGGAAGGAAGGAAGGAAGGAAGGAAGGAAACATGGAAATTTACAGAGGAAGCTACCCGATGCCAAACTCTTGTCTCCACATGCATAAATACATGTATATGCTCGCACACAAACACACAGGTACACATACACAAACATGTACACATACATTCATCACACAAGTGCACACAGTTGCAGTTCAAAGATGGAACTACTTACTCAATTTTATTTAACGTTGCTAGTATCCCCTGGAAAGAAGGTAGTATTGCCCATTTTAACAATGAAGAAACTGGAGCCAGCAATGAACTTGTTCATTGTCAATTAAGAAAGATGCCACAGTTTACACACATCCGTCCTTCTCTTATTAATTTGTCTCCTGCTTGGCCAGAATGTGTACTTTATATGCAGAATGGACAACACTCTGTGGCTTTCCCCCCCCCCTCTATCTGAAATTCAGCCAACTAGGAATTCATGAAGGTTAGTAACTCATGCTAAGCTATAAATAATTCTCGATTTAATCTCATATATTAATCATACATTCGTATAATTAAATAAATTCAGATTTTCTGATGTTTAGATTTGAGTCCTAGTTCCTTGGTTTACTAACCCTGAATCTTAAAGAACATCATTTATCTTGGGAAGACTTAGATGCCATCTTATGACATAAATAGGTTTGGTGACCTACCCTAGATACCTAATTACTAACTGTGGCTATTTGCAAAGGAAGTAATCCATTCTTGATTTTATGTAACCAGCTTACACATGTTAGAATTCAGCTGGAGGTTAAATGGAGGAAACCTGGAATTTTTATCTAGCTCTATTTTAGCACTTGTGGGAATCTAATCTGTTTTATAATTTTTAAAACATCAATTATTTCACCCATGTCATGGTTCAGCTGTGTCAACAAAGCAATATATCAGCATGCTTAGAAAAATGATCAGTAGGTAACAGTATTATTACTTGTATGTGTGTTTCTGCTTTTGAGATAAAAACAGGAAAATGATAATTACTGTATTTAGTTTGTATTTGTACATGGATGTCTATCATCCATCTACCTACCTTTCTATTATCTACCTAGACATATATTTGTTGAGATTTTGGCTTCATGTCTAACATAGAACTCCCAGCTCAGAGTACAGTTGAATAGTAAGAAACACCAAAGATTTCTCAATTAAAATGTCATTCAGCAAAGGACAACTTCTCTTTCTTCTGATGTATCTATTCTAATCAGTGAGCACTTTGGACACACTCTCCATCCATACTGCTTCAGTCCTAGGTCTAGCTGCCTCTGCAGAGGGGTCTAAGCAAGGAAAATGTAATGCACTCTAAGGCTCTCTCAATTCACCTGTTGTTCATTCATCTTCATACAAGGCAATATGGTGGGGAAGTAGCCGTGGTTCCTGACGAGCAACCTGCCTGCCGGGGCTCCAACAAAGCACTCCAAGCTTCTGAGTATATCACTACCAGTTGAACTCCTGGCTACAGGAGAAAACAAAGTTATTTCTGTGACATACTGGAAGCATTATGAAAGTCACATGACATCCCTAGGGAAATACAAGCTTACATGGGACACAGGCAATGCCCTGCCCCAGCTAAGTCAACAGCTAGCCAAGGCAACTTAAGCCTACCTGTGCTGTCAACCCATCCAGGGAACTGAGGTAGTTGTCCAATTTCTACCTATCCTGTGGTGACCTCAGTTTATCATCACATTTCAATTGCATTAAATATATCGCCACATTTGAACTGACTACTAATGACAGTTGTCTGCTAAACGTATGCCTTGGAAATAAGAACCACAAAATTGCCAGGCAGTGGTGGCACACGCCTTTAATCCCAGCACTTGGGAGGCAGAGGCAGGCAGATCTTTGTGAGTTAAGAGGCCACCCTGGGCTACAGAGTGAGTTCCAGGAAAGGCACAAAACTACACAGAGAAACCCTGTCTCAAAAAAAAAAAAAAAAAAGCCACAAAATTGCCAGTGATGAAACTTTCTGAGATTTGGGTAAAATAACTGAAGGTCAAGAATGGAGAACCCCAGAAATATTCCCATTTCCCTGCTTAAATGGTTGTGTGTGAGACTATAAGTCATGCTACTATAGCCCTAGGATGATGTGGGTAGGATGAGGCTGTCCATTGGTGGCTGTTTATGAAGGTATGAGGGTAAGGGTATATGCAGTATCAAATATTGCTACTGTAAGGCCAGGGAGCTGGCTTAGTACATAAAGTGCTTGCTATGCCCAAAAGCCTGACTTCAATTCCCCAGAATGTATGTGAAAAGCCTGAGCAAGGTGATACACACCTATAATCCCAGCTCTAGGGGGGCAGAGACCAGAGTATTCCTCGGACATAAGCTCCAGGTTCAATGTGAAAACTTGTCTCAAAAAATAAGGTAGAGGGTAATTGAAAAGGTACATCATACACACACACACACACACACACACACACACACACACATACACACACACTTACTTCTAGCCAGACTCAGGAAAGAGTATGCCTGAACCATCAACATCATAGGCTGGCTGTATTCAAAACTGACCGCTATATGGAAGTCTTCAAGTTTTTCACGGTCATATTCCGTTTTCATTGCTGCTATGATAAATCAATCACAGACTTATCAGGCTAAAGACACACATTTTACATCTTACAGTTGCATAAGGCAGAGGCCTGGCATGAGCTCACATCAAGCTGTCAGCTTTAGGGGAGAATGTTTCCAGCTTCCACAGCCCTCTCATGACTTGCTTCATGGTCCCTGTCTTAATTTTCGAAGCCAGCGCTGTGGTGTCTCTCTGACCTTCCCTCATCTTCACGTCCCTTTCTCTGATCTTCAACTAGAAAATGCTCCACTCTCCTGAGGTGATGCTATTGGCTATGTACCTGAGCTGGTCATGAGTTCCTGGCATTCCTCCTGCCTCAGCCCCCCAAATGCTAGGATAATAGGTATGTGTCACCATGCCTTGATAAGTCCTTGAGCTTAAATATATTTGCAAATTGAAGAAGGCTTTGAGATGCCAATTTAATTAAACGAAGGGTTAAGAATTAAAGGCTAATGATAATTGATAATGATGAAGGGATCATCATTAAGGGAATCAGTGATCTAGTCTTTATTTCATCCATTAGTCCCCATGCTGCAGCAAGAACTGAGATGGTAGTCTATCTTCTGGAAAGGAGGCTTAGTTGTCTGGACATTTAATTGGGCAGCCACGGACATGTCTGAGCGCCTGACCTGCAAGTCCATCCTGGGTGGGAAGATGCTTCCTCGGTGTGGGCAGGCACTATCCAGTTACGGATGGGAGAAGGTAGGGGATAATTTCATTCTCTTTGGATCCTGCTTGCTGCATCCTCCTCCTGCCCTTGTATATCAGAACTCCAGGTTCTGCCACCTTTGGACACTCTAGGACACTCACCAGCACCCTGTCCTCTCCCACGTGTTTGGCCTGAACTGAGTGATTATGATTAACTATTAGCTTTATTGGTCATGAAGCTTCTAAACATGAACTAAGGCCTGTTACTGGCTCCCTGTTTCTCCATATTAACACACTCTGTTGTTAGCCTTGGCAGCCTCTGTAACCATGTGTGCAGTTCCCTTAACTGCCCTCCTGGTTCTTCATAGCCTAGTGCTCTGTCCCTCTGGAGAACCTTGGCTCAACTGGCCTTTTTGCCATGTAAGGTAGCATACTGAGTCTGAGTTTTAAAAAGGCTATTCTGGAGAAGCCAGTATCTTCTCTACCACAATGGTCCATGATCTGAAAGCACCCATGTCCTCTATCCATCCATGTACTGTAATGGGAGATATTTCCCCTCCTAGCCCTAAGCACTGTAATGAGCCATCTGGAAACAGTCGGATCAAAACTGCAGAAGCAATTTTACCTGCTGCATGCTAACCTTGAGAACCCATTGTTTCTAATCATTCACCTAGCAAACTCTAAAAAGTTCTCCTGAGAGATGCTGTTAGGACAAGCATTAGCATGTGGCTATGTTCTGTGACTGCTTCCCTCTTCCTCCTTAACAACAATAGCTTTCAATTCTTGAGTTTGGAACAACTTTACATGAAATGGTGTTCTAATTTAATGACTAGCTTCCATATTTTAAAAAGCCACTAGGAAGACAGTCAGGCATTTTCCAGACATTCTGCAGGATAATCAGCACTTCAAAAACTGTATTTAAGTACATTTTGATTTGTAATGTAAAGCTCTTTGAAACTGCAGAGTGACCACAGTAGTAGCATTTACTATAAAGTGCCTTATTATTTAAAAAAAACCTTATCAGTAGAACTTTTATGGTAATTGTCTTAGTGCATTTATAATTATTTTAAATTAACAATTAGATTTAACAATGAAAAAGTTCCTTTACCTAACTATTTGGTAAGACAATCAGAAAGAATTATTACATTAATCAGGTTAAGAGAGGCTCTGTGGCAACAACAAGTAAATCCTATTATCTCAAAACTCAAGTAAATTTTTTTATCATGCAAAGCCCAATATAGCTTAGGTAGCCTGACACCATCTCACAGCTGTATCACAGGGAAAGCATGACTGAAGAGGTCATGCTAGTTCTTAACTTCCTCAGCTAGAAAGTGATACATGATTTCTTGTAATCAGTGACTAGAAATAGTGACTTGAATAGCCCCCAGTTCAAAGGAGGCTGGGTAATTTAGGGGAGGATATGTATTGCATAACAATTTCCTTCAGAGCTGAAATATTCCATCTTGGACAGAAGTTTATTAAGACTCAGGATGCTCTAAAGCAGTGGTTCTCAACCTGTGGGTCATGACCCTTTTATAGGGGTCCTGTATTAGATTTCCTACATATCAGATATTTACATTATGATTCATAACATTAGCAAAATTATAGTTATGAAGTAGCAATAAAATGATTTTATGGGGAGGGTC